GAAGATGGCGGTCGGAATGGACCGTTGCTGACACCTCCTGCGGAATGAGAGAGTTAAAGAGGAAACGAATTTTGTCTGAAGATCGTAATATTATTGTTGTGTGAATAAATTTCTTATTACGTATACGTAGCAAAGCACAGTTTATTTGTTTTTGAGGGAATGAAAAGTTTATTTATCGAATCGAGTGGCGAGGATTAAGATTACAATTCGTTTCGAATTCATATTCTATTAGATTTGGAAATTAATCACCAAATGTATCATCTGATTAGAGGAGCATACGTGGGAAAGGATTTATTCAAAGAATAAATCGCTGGTTAATATCAATAGTGGCATAAAAAAAAGTGTAGAATTAATTTAGATATAATTAATGAGATATTTCAAATTGTGTCAAATAAATTTTCAATGACGTGAAGAAAAATGGTGTATCGAAATATTTCCAAATCCAACGAACGATCCAACCGGATGTAGCAGGTCCTCGAATTTCCGGTGTAAAGATGAACGCGATCGTGATGTCATCACCGTCAGATATTTCTTCTCCCAACTGTCTGATCTCTTTGTCTCTCTCGTTTTCTCCGATACTCCCACTGGAATGTATCATATGCTTATATTTACGAAGGCACACCTTGCTTTTCACGGTATTTGGTCAACGCCGGTCACCGACCTTGCAGCTCGCGCGAGCCATCAAACAGATATGATACTTTTGCATTATGCATTAATTGCTAAACGATTTCAAATCGAGGAACAATGCGAGAATATATTCATTCCTTTTCCGTTCATAATTTTAATTATCTCGCAAAGTAACACACGAGACTATATAATTATTTCTATCATTTTTTCTACCATTTTTATCTTCTGCTTAAAATGAATCGTAATTTCAATCATCGTGCGATGTAAAATAGCATTATCGTTATTTAAAAGATTATTTTTAATTACTTCCTTTTTCTGAAACACGAAATTCTGATTATTTTTTTTTTTTCTGTATGTTCTCCTTTTACAATTAGTTATAACTTTAATCATTCTGTAATGTAATATTCGTACCTATCGTCGTTTAAAAGGAACAATCTTTAATTATTTCCTTTTCGTGAAATATAAAATTCCGAATATTTTTATATTTTTTTCATTTCTTCTTTAGTCATTTCATTTCGATTATTATGTTATGTAAAATATAATTGTTATTTAACAATTGATCTTTTCTTTCTTTCTTCAGATATTTTCAAAATTTATTGAATCGATTTATAATTGATTTTTATTAAAAAATTTGAAAAGATATTTGAGAGGAAAAAGCGAGATTAAAATTGATATATAGGAATATCTTACGATATATAGTTAGTATTCATGTACATGCTTCTCTCTATAATGTCGAAAGAATTTGAGGTTTCGTACTGGATATGGGAACAAGCCTTGATCGTCCTTCGTGGTCATCTTGTATTCCTCGAAGTAGGTATCGAGAGGCCATGTGGTATCTCGTACCTATAAACAAAGATGATAAAATAAAACAAAATTAATTTCTTCGTGTTAAAAAATCGTTGAAATCAATATTAAAGAAAATTGATTTGTCCTTGTGCTCAATTCACAAATTGATAAAATTTCAATCAGGCGTGACTTGAATATACTCGTTTTATTAAAGACCACGATTATTTTAATTTTATGATAAATCATAATTTTTCTTCTTGTCACAATAATTCTTGTCACAATAACTCGAAAATTAATTTATTTTTATTTGATTTTTTGATTACTATTTTAATCATATAATATATTTAATTAATAAGATATTGATTTATTTCTCTAATTGATTTAACTATTTAATTAATATTTTTACGGATATAATAATTAATTATTAATAAATAATAGACGTTGATTTATTTTATTTTCTTTAAGTTTTAAGTTTCATCAAATACACAATAGATTTGGAGGTTTTGTCTGGAAGTGGAAATATTTTAGTAATGTGACCTTAGTAGGAGAGGTTAATCGCGTCTATAAATCACGCTGCGAAGAAATATTCTTCTCCACGACTGTGAGAAACATATCGTCACTTGGATAGTGGTGATTTCATCGCTTACGATCTTCTCTTTTTGCGAACGTCATGGTCTCCATCTTCCTTTGACTTCTCGAGTTTCGATAGAGAAGGAAGTAGACAAAATTTTTAGAAATTTATAATTTCAATTGTAATAACGATTAAAATGAATATAAAATAATTTGCCATTTAATGTTTTTACGGATATAAAATTTATAGAAAGGGAAAATGTTGTAAAAGATACAAGTTTTGTTACAAAAATAAAATTCAGGCTTTCAATAAAAAAAAATTATGTGGAATTCGCGACAATCTTTGATTTTATCAATATTTAAATTTGGTATAATTTTTAAATAATATTCAAGTGAAGGATTTTTAATTTTTAATTTCAAGTACATATCGATAGATTATGCAAATATTGTATTAATTCAGGAACATAAAATAAACCAAAATATTATTCTTTACAAATTTATAAAGTAATATTTTTATACGAAAATAAAGAAAAATCAAATCAACTTTTTGTTGCGTATAAAAACTCAAATTTCAATAAAAAAATGGACATAAATTATTCGTATAATAAGCCATCAATATGATTGCTATGTTGAAATGAATCTTTAAATTTTTAATGTTTTTTTTTCTAAAGTTATAAAATATTCAAATTTTAGCATTCCATCTTTTTCTCATAATAAATATTTTCAAACTCGTGTATTCAAAACACGAAGACATTAAAATTCTCTTTGAAAAAAAAAGATTGCTTCTTGTACAATCCATTATATTCAAATAATTCAGCGAAATATTCCATCAAACCATTAAACCAAATCAAACAAATGAAAACATCTCCAAATCTCGGTCATTTCAGAACTTTTCCAATCATCTATACATCTAATTTAAAATCTGATCTCGTGCAACCAATAAAACTGACAAAGAACTAGCCATTATTTCCTCTTCCAACTAGTATTCCATCATTTTCTCGTAAAAATACCGAATGCTTTCACTCCTTTAAAAAAATTTTGATAAAGATCGTTCCATTATATCATACACACACACATTCTAATATCAAACCAAATCAAACAAAAACCTCTCAGTTCCTCAAAGAAACTTCTTTTCTAAAAAAAAATAAAATAGAAAAAATATATATAACACTTGGAATACCACATTCGCGAATACCACAGCGTCAAACCAAATCAAACGAAACGAACCAAACCTCCAAACCACGTTCAACCTTCAGAAATTCCCTACCGTCCACTCCCATTCAACCACACGCCTAATTCCGAAACCCGATCCCGTGCGTCCAATAAAATTTACAAAGGATTAGCCATTTTTTCCTGTTTCACCGGGCATTTTCGCGGCCCGCTCCGTGGAATACAAAAGAGGACGAGGCGCGCGGAGAAAGAGGTCGTCGAGGCGGGAAAAAGAGACGGAAGAGCACGAGGAAGAGAAAGGAGAAGGGGAAGACGGTTAATCGGTGCCAGAGTACCGTTGTACCTGAATGGAGCAGCGAGATGGCTTTCGGTTTCCCTGCAGCCTCCGTCGCAGCTGCAGCTCCGCTCTCTTCGACCAACGACTTCAACCGGAACACGTGACTGCCGCGCGTGTTCATGCACGCGAAAGCGCGCCACACAGTTTTTCCACTCCCCGAATCGGGCGAAGGAATCGCATTTCCGCCTCCGTTTTTCGATCGAGGGTTGGCAACCACGTGCACCTGCACCAACCGGGGACAACAGCTGCTGCCGCGTTTGTGGCCGGCTCGCCACTTGCCTTGTAAACACCTTGTCCGTAAGTCACGACCGTGCATCGCCGTCTATCTTGGTCGAAAATTGGAGGAAATATTCGTTCCGAGACCGATGGCATTCAGCATCAGGCGTTCGAAGGCGTTGCGTTTCTCCAAGTTCGAAGGATGGATGAAATAATCTCGAGGTGTTTGTGAGTGAGTTTTTGAATTTTGAAAGGTGAAGGATAAAAGTGGGCGCGAGGACAAAAGTGAAGGACTTGTGGATCGCGGTTTCGTAAGGTGATACGACGTGGCCGGTTTTGAAATGGTTTCGAGACAAACGTTTGTCGTTTCTTTGCACCGGCAATCGGTGCTTTGATACCCGCGCTTTTATCGTGTTCAGCTTCGTCACCGCATATTTCAGATTTCGATTTCAATCTATTTTCTCGCTTCCTTTTCTTTCTTCTTCTTCTTCTTTTTTTTTTCAATTGAAGATTCGATAAACTGTTAATAATGTAAGTCTGGAGGATCTGTTGGTCAAGGATCTGTTTTGGAGGGAAGGAGAACAACGAGCCACGTTCCAACTTTCACTGTGCTCTATGCTTCTTCGAGCATGCAAATTACTCGAGACGCACTATTCGAAACGCACTATTAATCCGAGGGAGGAGGGGAGGGTGGAGGAGGGGGAGCAACAAAATGTCTCCCCGACAGGCGAGATAAATCAGGATCGTGTTACTGTGAACGTGCCGCGGTATGCAAAACCGCGAGGTGCTGCCTTTTTTTTTTTTTTTTTTTTTTTTTTACGCAGTCAACGAACCTGATCGCGCGTAACACAATTCCGCCGATCGTTTGTGAAATCGATCGTTCACCCGGCCGATACATCTCGCGTTACGTGTTACACGATGCTCTACTTTCCATAAATCACGAGAATCCTTGATACACAATTGTTACACTCGTGCGCAAGTTTATCTTCAAAAAGAAAAAGAGAAAAAAGTATTCGTCTCGTTCGATTATTTTCGAAGTATCTTCTGCGTTTGAACGCAAATTAATGGAATTTAATTAATTGGACGGTATATATTTTTGAAATAGAGGGATGCAACAAAAAGGATATACATTGGACGATGATTAGTTTTCACGAATTAAAAAGATATTCTTGATATCAGTTTTATTTTAATATTTTTGAGCCTCTATAACTGTATAATCGTTGGAACGAGATATTATTTTCTGAATGTAAATTTAAGTAATCGAAAATTGAACGATGAAGTAAGAGATTCAGCCATGCCCACGAAGAATCTGGAGGTAGTGGATATTTTAGAAGCCCTCGAATCGAAGCTCGCGTACATTCCAGGAGGACGTGACAGGGAAGGAAGACCTTTGATGGTGGTCAATGTTCCCTCAGAACTTCAACCGACCACGAAACCAAGGTTGGAAGTATTGATCGCCTATTTTTTGTCCATTTTTAGGTAACTATATTTTTTTTTTGTTTTTTTTTTTGGAGTTCAGATATGAATATTTATCAGTTTATTATAATATATCAAGTCTAAAAGTCTTAAATCTAATGTCTTCACATTGAATCTTTATATAAGTTTGATTTATAAAATTTTGCAATATTTGCATTTTTTTTGTAAAATACGAATGGAATAGTTATGATTTATTCCAATGGTGTATCGTTATCAGCATCGATTGATAAAAAAGTAATAAACTTGAGAGCAAAAGATTATTTTTCACTTTGCAAAGAGATACAAAATATTTTATTTATTCCATGGAATCAAAAAAAAAATTCATGGAGATTACTTTAACCTAACTTTATTCGATTCTTATCCATTAAATCAATCCATTCGACATCATTTGATATTCAAATATCGTATTGAATTCGAATGTTAAAAGAACAAAACTCGTATGATTTCTTTTTACATAAATAATGAAACAGTCACACAGAAATTAATTAATTTCTGATCTAACATATATCGATAAAATTATTACGATTGTAATATAAAAAATAATTGTTACGATTAATTAAAAATCAAATTTAAATATTTACTGTCAGATGACGTTCTGTATAATTGGAATGCAAATGACTTGTGACTCTTCATGGTATAGCGAGGAGACGAAGAAGAATGGATTGGTCTTGATAGTGGACGCGAGAAAGGGTGCATGGAGGGTGGCAAGATCTTGCATCAGGTTGTCTACTGTACTTCTGGGAGCTTCTGCCGCATCCGTCATCGTGGTGCGCCCTGATGGCTTCTGGGACAAGAGGGTGGACAGTTGCACGAAATCGCACAAGGAAGGAGAGGTTCGTTATCTACAAAAATAAAATTGGAATTACATCGAAATTTTACACCAAATATTTATTTTCACTTCCAAAGTCGAGTCTCTAAAATTATTTCACGAATATAGTAAATTTTACATATATATTTATCATATCATTAGACAATTTGTAATTCATAATTGATAAAATTATTTTTCCCGGAATTTTTGATTTGATTTTTATTATTCAATTTATCGATAAATTTTGTAGTTTGTAAGTGGAGTTTATTTCAATCTTTAATATATATATATATTAAATATTTTTCGATGAAAAATTCAATTCAAGTGCTCAAGTTACTCTTGAGATAACTAAGCTAATAGTTCTTGATTGGTATTCCTTGGAACATTAGCATTCCGCGAACTTGTCACAATACTAGAGTAAACGTAACTTGTTACAAGTGTTCCACGAAATTACGAAAGCGGCGTATTAGCTAGGATATTACTACGATTCTTACCAAAAGGAATATTCGTGCATATTTCTCATACATATTTTCATTCATAATTTTACGATCGGATTATGATTTTCGATGCATTATCGAAACGTATCCTTATTTATTTCCATTACATAACACTTGAATTACAATTATTTTACGCATAATTTACATTCAAATATATTCTTAAATTATCATACGAATATATATATATATATATATACATATATATATATATATATATATATATATATATATATAAATTAGCATAAGAAGAAAAAATATCTGATCCATTCATGGTTGTTCAAATAATATATGCAAAACAGAAAAAGAAAACATATTTCCATAAATCACGTAAATCACGTAATCCGCATAAAAAACATCCAGAATCCATTTACGATCCATTTACCTGATGTTCGCATAAATTTCTTCGTAATCCAAAATGTTGAGAAGCCACTATCATAAATCGATCGTGCCACGAGAAATCGCACGATATTACACGTGTATTAACGTATTATCTGAATCGAGATATGAAGTTACCATTCAAACACCATCACCGATGAAATGGAACGTTTCTAATTTTATTTACATAATTTTTCTATCGAATCGTATATACATCCATCTAGGATAAACTAGTTTTCCCTCCTTTTAACCATAGTTCTCTGCCATTTAATCAATCCTCGACAAGAGTCGCTTGACCGATTCGAGGCACATGTTCACGCTCGATTATCGCGTGAAATATTCACGCTTACTTGTCAAAATCGTTCCGTGTGACGAAAATGTACATATATTCGCGATGGGTTTAATTGCAAGCGTGCTCGTGAACATATATATATATATATATATACATATACGTGACGTGAATTAATTAGTTGTTGTTTCAGCCGACGTACCTCACCCTGACGAGGCTCCAGCTCCACGTCGACTTTGCACAGCTGCCGTACGAGCTGGGTGGCAACAAACTTTACGATCACGTGGATTGGATCCAGAAGCGCGTGGTAATCTTCTCATCGATTTATAATTCACGCTCAAACGAACCATTGTATCGGGAATAATCGTTTCCATGTGGAAAGTTTATGGGGGATTCGGTGTGTGAACTCATGATGGTTTATTTGTTACAATTTTTTTTTAGAAGATCTATCGATTATAGTTGTATATCAAGTATTAAGTGTATACTGTAGTAAAAGATATATATAGTAAGGATGATATTAGTAGTGTTAATTATTAAAAATTATTAGATGAATAATTAATAATGTAATAAGTAATGTAATAACAATAATAATATTATGAAATGAAAGTATGTAAGTCTAATAGAATATTTGATTTGGAGGATATAGGAATGGATATAAATTTTCTGTGATAGAAATTGGTTACATAGCTCATTTATTTTCCTTTCTATGAGATGTAAGATAATATAGCAATAATAATATTATGAAATGAAAGTATGTAAGCCTAATAGAATATTTGATTTGGAGGATGTAGGAATGGATATAGATTTTCTGTGATAAAAATTGATTACATAGCATATTTATTTTCCTTTCTATGAGATGTAAGATAATATAGCAATAATAATATTATGAAATGAAAGTATGTAAGTCTAATAGAATATTAAATTTAGAATATTTGATTTGAGGGATGTAGAAATGGATATAGATTTTCTGTGATAAAAATTGATTACATAGCATATTTATTTTCCTTTCTATGAGATGTAAGATAATATAGCAATAATGATATTATAAAATGAAAGTATGTAAGTTTAGTAGAATATTAAATTTAGAATATTTGATTTGGGGGATGTAGGAATGGATATAGATTTTCTGTGATAGAAATTGATTACATTTATTTTTCTTTCTATGAGATGTAAGATAATATAGCAATAATGATATTATGAAATGAAAGTATGTAAGTCTAGTAGAATATTAAATTTTGTTATAGTTTGATGTAGTTTAGCTGAATATGATTATAGGAATTGGTTATGATTTAATTAATTAATTAATCGGTATACAATTACTTTTTGCAACTATTGTATTAATAAGTTTCTTGTGAAGAAACGGAAGTTCTATATCGCTTTCACTATTTTCCTTTTCTATCACACGTTTTCTTATGCCGATTTCACAGAAAGTGGAGGATTATACCAAGGATGCATCCGATCTCATCACTAAAATGGCAGATCTACACCGAAGATTGATCAATTTGGATGGGTTTCGAATGTCAGAGTCGGACGACGATTTGGAATCTTATTGGGGTATGAGCAACGAATTAACAGCTCATGCACGACATATTCTTCAATCAGGTGAGTTAAAATTACGCACAGTGCGATAATATAAAGTAATAAATAATGGAAATGATTTACATAATGAATTATTCAAACGAGGAAAGAACGTTGAATCGAAAATTATAGATATATAATTTAATTTAATCAATTAATTGCAAGATTAAACTTTTAGGTTTTCTTTTCAATAATTTTCTTTTAATTATAATTATCAGTGACTTTTTATATTTTGTAATATAAAAAACTTTCAACATAGATAATTCAAAGAAAAGAAATTAAATATTCATTCTATATTTTCTTAAAATTTCCTTTGATATATTTAAACACACAATATTTCTATAAAATGTACTAATGAATAAACTTATGTTTGCACATATAACATATATACATAGAGAATATTAATTATATTCTTAGACATTTTTAGAGGATTAATTTTAGGAGCTAAATCAAGCACAAAAATATTATCGGTTGAAGTTTATTTATTAAATCACAAACACTTCAAATACAGATGAAACAGAAAATCGCAGATACAGAAACTATCACAAAAATTCTTTGAAGAAGAAATATTAATCGACAGTTCTGATCAATCACGAATCCAAATAATTCTATTTATCCATTATCGTCGTTCGATTATCGATCAAAAAATCCCATTCACTGCCAATCACTCAAAGGTTGAGTCGTGTCATCGTTATCGATCGCTCGAACGTCTATTTCCTACGATACAATCAACAAGTTGTGCAGAAGGATCGACACTCGGATATGGATAGATTGGCCGGAAAAATTGAAAAACCGGCTTAACCGGATGTTAGACAGGATTTCTTTGGAATCGAGTCGCGTGCTCGATGAATCGCGCAAGAGTGTAAAAACACCGACAATGCCGAGCTCGTGTCGTATACGTTTTTATCTCTTACTTCTTTGTCGTTTTTTCTGGCATAGGATACCGCTACGAGATATGAATCTTATTAAAGGGACGTATCTCTTTTTCGTAATTCGATTATTGGCAGAGATTTTTATGGTGGAACTTATGTAGAAGAAATAAATAATTGTTTTCCATGTTGTGTATATTGTTATATTATATCATTGATATAATATTTTTGGTATATTTTTAAATGAATCAAGAGGAATGAATAAGTATAATAATTAATAATTGAAAAAATAAAAGAAATTTCACAGAGTTCATAAAAATTCATAAAAATCAATCATTTTGAGGAATTTGGATTTTAATATTTTAATACAGTGAATTATATAATATTAATAGTAGTAGAGAGTTTCATAGAATCTTATTTTTGTATCCAAATGAATAATATAAATGATACAAATAATCTTATATTATATTATTTGTGCATAAAGTTGAACAATTTTAATTTATAGGATAATAATTGGAAAGAGAATTTCATTCTTTTTAAATTATTTGAAAATTAAATAAATAAATGATACAAATAATCTTATATTATATTATTTCTGCATAAAGTTGAACAATTTTAATTTATAGGATAATAATTGGAAAGAGAATTTCATTCTTTTTAAATTATTTGAAAATTAAATAAATAAATGATACAAATAATCTTATATTATATTATTTCTGCATAAAGTTGAACAATTTTAATTTATAGGATAATAATTGGAAAGAGAATTTCATTCTTTTTAAATTATATATTGAAAATTAAAAAGTTTGAAATATTTTAAAGTTTCTATCTAATTTTGGTATTGGAATAATTTCTTAAAAATGATTGCTTTCAATTCTAGCAAATAAATTTATATATAAAAAGATCAAACAATGCAGACTTTATAATCATTACACATTTTTTAACAATTTAATTTCTATTTTACATTAATCGAAGAAATTTTTTTGATAGCATTTTTTCAGACAGGGAATTAAAATCGTGCGTATTATGATTTTAGGAAGAAATTTAGTCGGTTCGATGGCCAGAGAATCTTCGAAAGATACATTGGACAGTACAAAAAGAATTCACGAGCTTATCGACTCCATCGAACTGAAGAAGGTATCGTTTTCGAAACAACGAGGAAATGGGGAGCAAAAGGAAAAGAAGAAAAGGAAAAGAACAAAGAGGATTAAATAACGTTTGTATTTTTTAGTTGGACATCGAAAATTCTTGGTCAGAAATGGAGAAGAATTTGGATACAGCCAGGGTGATCGGTGATCTCGAGAAAGGTGTGTCACGTGTTACAGATTGGATCTTGGGACCAGCTGACGCCATGTTGAACTCTTGTTGCCAGGTTGGATTTGACGTCTCTTCCTCGGAAGAACTTCGCAGACGTCACGAGGAACTCGAATTAGAATGCAGGGTAAATGCAAAAGAGTCGATATATAAAAAATATAAAAAATAATTGATCATTCAAATTATTCGGAGTCTCTATTATCCAAACCGAAGCAAGAGATGACTGTTCGAATTTTTCGAATATATATACAAATACTTTTGAACCAAAATTTAATGATTTTGTTCAATATTCATTCTAGTGTTCAATTTCAAATTTTCTTACCTATCAATTAAACGATTTTTATTAACTGTTATTATTTTATTTATGTATTTCCTGTTTGTATTTCTCATTCAACTTTCTAATCATTTCAATTGCTTTTAAATATGTAGAAATAAAATTTGAATTATTATTAATTTTTTCTTCCTTCTTTTTTTATACATTTTTATCTTACATATTTAATATTTATTTATATTTTTAATATTCATTATATTAATTCCATAATTTCGTTATCTCAAATCAAATTCATGAATTGAATTAATTAATTCTGTTATATTTTCAATTATAATTATTCGCTGATAAATTTCTAATGTATTTGAGGATTTATAAACTATGAAAAAAAACCTTGCAATTAAATATTTGCAATTTTTTAATCACAATATATTAAACTTTTCTGTGAAAGAAGATTCGAAGATTTTAAAAAATTTTTCGATTGAAACGAGGAAGAAAACGTTAATTTCAATTTTTAGGAAACTTATGGACGATACGCGGAACTGCTTCACAAGATCGACAGTTTACCAAGCACGCGTTTATCCGAGGATTTGAAATCTCAGAGAGATTTCATGGATTTCGTGTGCAGAAGTTTTGCAAACAGGCTCGAGAGACGGCGAAACGTGTTAATCACTTCGCAAAGATTTTTCAGGCTAGTTTCCGAGGTATTATCGCTATTAGGCAACGAAGAGTCGAATTTACGAACGAACGATCTCCTGTTATTCGTTATTTACAGTACTTTGACAAAACGAGCGAAGTCTTCGATAAATTAGTGATGGGCAACAGAACTCACGATTTTTCACAAGCTGGAGCCAATCTTTTGAAATTGCAACAAAGCCAAGGAATCTTGGGTAAATAATTTCTGTTGTGCATAATTTATTATATTATATTTTTTAAAAATTTCATTTCTATCTAATTTCCCAAAAGAAATCGTTTTCTCTTTCGTTTTTTGCTTTATAATGAAAACAAAAGAATTTAGAAATTTGAAAATGACTTGTAAATTTTCCAATTATCGAAGGAAAATAATATTTCTTTTTTTTTTTTCATTTTTGCTCGAAAAAAGTAAAATATTCAAAAAATTTAGAAATATTAAATATATACTTTACGTTGAAAATCATTGAATAATGAAAATAATGAAAATAAAAGAATTTAGAAATTTGAAAATGACTTGTAAATTTTCCAATTATCGAAGGAAAATAATATTTCTTTTTTTTTTTTTTCATTTTTTCTCGAAAAAAGTGGAAGTAAAATATTCAAAAAATTTAGAAATATTGGATATATACTTTACGTTGAAAATCATTGAATAATGAAAATAATGAAAATGAAAGAATTTAGAAATTTGAAAATGACTTGTAAATTTTCCAATTATCGAAGGAAAATAATATTTCTTTTTTTTTTTTTTCATTTTTTCTCGAAAAAAGTGGAAGTAAAATATTCAAAAAATTTAGAAAATTAGATATATACTTTACGTTGAAAATCATTGAATATAATAACAGATAACGATAAAAGAGAAGAATATATGACGGTGTTTCATTTATTTTAGAATCTCTGGAACGCGAGTTGGTAAAGGAAGGTGAAAAATTATCGGACATTTTGTCGATGCCAGTGAAGGACGCGCTTGGACGCGATGTGCATGTTGACTATGGCGAAGATATAGTCAACGTCCGAGATATTTTGGATGCGACGAACGCCAGGAAGAATATTTTCAATGACAGCGTCGAGCTGCAGAAACTCTCCCTAAAGCAGACAGCATTGATATACATTTACGAAAACGATGGCGAACAGGTGAACCCAATTTAGAACAAATTATTCTTCTAACAAAATATTCTCGACGATGTACGTATTATGAAAAAAAAATTTTTCCCTCCAACTTTCAGGCTGTAAAATGGTTGAACGATTTGTACAATGTTTTATTGAAAAACCATATGGAGATTGGTTGCAACGCGATCGAGATACAATCCCAGAAAGAGGAGCATCAATCGTTTCAAGAAACCGCTAAGGTGAGCAATAAAATAATACAAATTCGTGATTGAAATTTTAAAATTTATTTAAATAATAGAATCAATCGAATTGAATTAAAATTATGCATTTACAATATCACATCTCGAAAAACACACAAACCATTATTAGATTCTCAGATCGATGAATTTTTATCAGGTATGAAATTTATTTTACAAAATAAACAATTGTAAAAAATTGTACGAATTGATTAAATTAAAATTATGTACTCATCTTTGCGAACATAATGATATTCCAGGGAACGTACGACTATGGTTGTCAATTGGTGAATGGTGCACGAGTGTTGAGGTTATCGTGCAGGCTGCCACTGGAAAGTAACGCGAGTCTGTTCTCAAGGCTGAGACAAGCTTGGAAACGGCTTCGATCCGTTGGCCAGGAACAATTAACGAGACTGAGAGTGTGCGCCGTTTTCCATAGAAGCGTCGAAGATGTACGCACGGTGACCGTCATTTAGAAATTTAATCCTCCAAAACATTAAATTTTCATCACGAATCCATTATACACAAGCTTCTTGTTTTCACAATTTTTTAAAATTCTAGAATCTATTTCCATCCCATCCTCCAATTTTATTCTTCTTCTTCTTCTTCTTCTTTTTCAAGCATTGTTCCAAGTTGCACGACTTAATAGAGACCGTGGTATCTCTGCGTCGCTCGTTGAGGCTCGAGGATCTAGCAGCTGAGGCGAGAGCCAAGGCAGAAATAAGGAACATCCTGGGCAATCGCGAAAAGCTCCTCCTCGAAGTCGGTCGAATGGTGAGGCTTGGTCGTCTGTTGAGGACACGCCTGAAGGAGCCACTATGTCATCAACGGCAAGTACGACAGCGATTATTTCGAAAGAGGATAAAAAAGAATCAGTAAATCAATAAAAATTGTATTGTAATTGATCGATCATATCGTTTTGGAATTGTTTATTTATAAATCAACGTGACAATAATATTTTTTATAATATATATATATAAGCGAATTTGATCGATTCTATTGGACTTTGAAATCAGTATAGTCAGTTAAACATTAGGAGATAACCCCATTAGGTGTTGTAAATGTTTATGAATACAAATATAACCAGCAATTTCATAGACAACTCCCTCTTCATAGACAAACTTTTGTATACATTACTGTATACAAAAACGGAATCATTGCCATAATGTTTAGGCGATGGCATCCACACACATGTGGACTCAATTCGAAAAGGATAATTCTCACTTTTATATACAATATTATCTATTTATAAAATTCAAAGTTCCATCATCGACCAATCAACTACAAGTTTGTGTTTACCTGGATTCCCTGATACAGAGTGATTTTCTTCCAATGGAGTCAAAGTTATCGATTTTCTTGTAAAAAATTATTATTAAACAATAATTCTCTAGTTTCTGTTAAAAAATGTCAAAACATAATAACCTCATACTATACACTCCATCGTTGAGGAAATCAGAATTTTTATAATCCACTTTTTATCGAACCCACTTCTGGCAAGGTTTCCCGCTTCCAAGCTTCCTCTAGCGCGTCCTTGGCGTTTCCTCCGCCATTATATCTGGTGCAATCGGGCAATAAAACAGCGCGCACCTCGGTCGGGCACCGCAAGAGCAGGATAAGAGTTCGAGACGGAGTTGTCGAGAGAAAGATCGAGAGTAATATAAGAGGCGAGGAGGGCACTGTAACGTGGACGGCCACCTCCGTTTTTAACGGAGGCGGTGTGTCAGTCCATGGCTGCACGTCGACCAGATACCTACACCTTGATATCGGCTGCATGTAAGTCAGTTTCGAAATACGATATAAACGCGGCCCTGCTCTCGATCTTGTTGTTCCTAGAACCGTGTACCAATTCGATCGAGACTCGATTCCAAGTCGATCGTTGTGAAACGAATCGAAATTAATTGATAAAAATTTTTCCCTTTTTTCCAACTAATCTCGCGCCAACAACGTTACACTTTTCGATTGTGAGATTAAATAATAATTGTGAGATGGGATAATTCGATTGACACGTTAAAAAAAAATCTAAGAGATTCGATGATCTTGATTTTCGATACGTTGTAAAACGAGAAAAGAAAATCCAAAATGGCTGATGGCACGCTGATGCATCCGTTTTTCTGGCCGCGAACGTGTAAATAATTGTGGCGCCCAGTTGGAGGAATCCGACGAGCGAGCCACGAAGAAATAATAAGCGAAGAAAATAAATATCTATTATTATTAATTTCTGAAACGTTTTGATATAACGAATGAATGTACACGCAAGAAGAAAACCATAGATAGAGAAACATCTTTTTCGTTTATTATATACTTTATTCATTGTGTCAAAATTATCGTATTTAATAAGAAAAAGATTAAATTTCAAAGAATCAATCTTTCTTCCATTATTTCATCGAAATTTTATAAATATGCAATTCATTCGAGCTTCACCCACATGTTAAATATGGGTCAGTTGCGTGTGCAGATACGTAGATACGAATACGTCCTATTTTCACCCACACGAGGACTTGTGGTCAGGGCCAAGAAATTGTAACTCGTACGTTTCGTTTCGAATATTCGCGCACGAGAATTCGTTTCTAGATCTTCAAAAGAGGATAGATTCCGAAGATTTCTGGAAAAGAAATGCAATCGTCCGGCATCCTGCCAAAGCAAATAAATCTCGTAGACCAAAACGTTCCCTTATTTCCCTCCACCTTTTCTTACTTAATAAACTGTTTGTTGAAAATTGTTATCGGGAAGGGCGACGTTCCAACGTTTCTCCAACGTTTCTCCAATGTTTCTCGGTTCGCTCACGTGCGCGGCTCAACAGACATTGTCAGTGAAACGCGGTTGGCCGCGGTCCACGAACTTCGAAATGTTGATCGGTTCGATCGGTCGAACCTCGATTTCCGCTCGTTATTTTTGGATCTTCGAAATACTGTTTCGCGTAATTTTCATTTTCGTAAGGATTATCGATCATTTTCTTGAATCCATATGTTTTTTTTTTGATTTGTTATTTTAAAGGGCCAGGAAAATTTTTATTCGATTACATCCTTTCGATGTACTAATTTTAAAGGAAATTTGGAATTACTGTCTTCCCTAAAGTTTCTTTTCCTTATTTCATTTAGGAGTAAGAAATTAAGATTGAAATAAAAATTACTTCATTTTTTAAATGTCGATATGTTTCTTCTTCATTATTTAATATTCCTTGACACGTTAATGTATTAAATTTTTGCATAAATTGAAAGAAAAGTTACGTATGATGCATCTTTCATGAACTAAATATTTTACAAGATATGTCTTTTTCAATTTATTTTGAATAAAGATTATTGAATAAAAATATACAGAAAGCATATAATATGAAAAATATCCAAACTATAATATCCATCACAACATCATTTTGAGATAAAAATATAATTCTAGTACAATCTAAACAAGGGATTAAAAATATATTTTTCTCCATTAGTTTATAAATTTCAATTGGATTTTCTTTAAAACTCTGTCGCAATATATTGTGCATCAAATTATATATTTCACCGTTTTGTTCGTGAAAAAGAAGGCAAAGTGGCTCTTCTACCCTATAATTTAACGATTAAATTGATTCGAAATTGGTTCGACGCGTGTGGCAAAGATTGAAAATACCGGTTAAAAGTGACGCTTCGCAGATTCGCCGGCTCTTGGTTCACCGAAATTAGAACTTCGCCCCACATTGAAGCCACCATCTGGTCTTCGACCATTCGTCGCGGCGCTGTCACTGTCGATTACGTAATTCCTTAGAAATTTTGACGTTTTCTCCACGCTAATTTTGCCGATGCATTAGGATCGATATTGTGCATCGATGCATCGCGAATAAGAAATTTGGCACCGATTGCATTCTCTTATTGCGACCAAGCGAAACGAGATTGATTGGTATATTGATATGGAGTCGCGCATATTTTGTTGACTATTTGTTTGTTTGTATTACGTAATTGGATTAGAGAATTGGAGATGATGTATTATTTAGTAAAAAGTTGAATTAATTTTAAAATTTAGAGAGGAAATTTTCGTTTTAGTTTCTTATTTGTTATGATATATATGTAACAATCTAATCTAAATAATATTTATTTGAACATTTTTGATTGAAAATTATATTGGTAATTATTTGTAATTTATTAAAATCAAATTATTCACTCTTTTTTCTTTTTTTTAGAAAAATGAATAAAAGTGAATAGGTTTTATTCTATACTGTATGCTGATGGCTATAATTCGTAGCAGGCGATCTTGGTTCAAGTTTTAGATTGAGTTAAGAAAAGAAACACGGTCGTAAAATGGTACTTTTAACAGGCTGTTAAAAGTATTGTTTTGAAGCAAAAGAGAGAGATGTTGTATTAACTTTCTAACATATCAGTTTTATTTTTGCTTTTAATATTATTTCTCGCTCGATGTATTTCCAACATAAGTTCAATATAAATATCAAATCCATCCCTTATATGCATTTCTGTAAAGACATAACATAAACATAACATAACATAAACAAAGTTAAAAATAACAGATAAATTCTCAATATTCTATCAACTTAATCCATTTGCCTTCGCGTCTCTTTAAATACAAAAAAAAAAAAAAGAAAATATAGAAAGTCATCATAACATGACGATATCTTATCGTATATGCTTCATTTTAGAAGTTTCAGAATATTTTATACACAATACACTCCAAGATAAGATTTATAAAGATTACAAAATTGTTATAACATCACATATTTTCCTTCAATCTATTACAACCCATATCCTAATTTTCAAAATACAAAAAAGATTTATTACGTTTCAATATAATAATTCTTCCTCTGTAATTATCATAATAATATCTAATATTTCACACACATTGTAATACCTATAAACTCATTTGATTAATCCTATATAATAATGACGAAGAAAACATTGTCAACGAAAGAAGAAAAACGATACAACAAGGATTGATGATGGCCTACACTCCCCACACTCGAATCTTTCTTTCACAGAGTTTATGTGCCAGTAAAAGTTCGGTCTTAGTAAAAGTTTATTAATAGCCTGAACGAGGAACATTTATTTTTTCTAGAATGTCCGAAGCCGAGGATGCCTCCTCGGGCAAAGGCAGTAACCTGACAGCGGTGGAGGCGATCTCGGCGAGGTTGGCGGAAGTAACCCGTCTCGCCGAGAAGTTGGACGCGAAACTTTGCGAGGCTGGTGCCAGGACTCGTCCAGTCCCAATGTCATCGTCCGCCGTCTCCTCCACCTCCTCCCTCCTCTTGTCCTCGAACGCGCCCCCCACTTCCGCTTCGAGTCAAATCCCCACGATTTCGGCTGTCACAACTTCGTCGATCGGGATCACCGCACCGTTGATCAGCTCCTCGACGGTGCAACTTCAGCCCAAATGCGTGTCCACGATACTCTCCTCCTCTGTGACGAGCAACGAGAACGTTGGCACGACCACCAAAGATTCGGCGCAGAGTGTGAACGGCACGGGTGTTGGTGGTGAAAAGGTGGAGAGCAAGGTAGAGGATGAGGGGAAGGCTGGCACAGGGGAAGAGAGTAGGCAGGATGATTTGGGTGGGATGAATGATGAGAAGTTGAAGGGAGAAGTCGCGGAGGTGAGTGAAATTTAATTATTATCATAGAGAGATACTTTTTATTTCCTTCCTTTTTGAAATTTATTTTATGTAAAGATGTTGGGTTGTTAAGAATCAATTTAGCATAGTATAGCAAGTATTAAAAATGAATCAAGAAGTTATTAATAACGATCGATTCTAATTGCGATAGTTTAATCTTGTCGATCAATATTAATAGTCTTAATTAATTAATTAATTAATTCGGTCTGCAATAACTTGAGTTTGATTATTTGATTATATAAATTTCATAGATACATATATTTACAATTATTTTTATAGTAATTGTAAAAAGTAAAAAGTAGAGAAATGAAAAAGACAATGAATTAAATACAAAATATTATGCGTCTTGATGATAATCTAAAGATCAAGATGTAAATATAAAATAATAGCTTACAATTTATGTAATGAAAACTAAAGGAAGAAAAAAAAAGGAGATAAATATTTTCTGCTTCATCTATGTTTAAAATATTAGACGATATTCTACGATGTTTATATGCAATATCTTATGCAATAATGTATTTATAATTGATTTGGGTGCAGGACGTGATCGAAAAGTCATTCGACGATAATCTAGCCGAAGATTCGAACATGGACGAATACGTAACTGCGACCGAATGTTCAATCACTCCGACAGTTCGTTCGAGGAGCGAATCTTTCGTTACGTCTCCAGAATGGGAAGATCTCGTTGCTCCAACATCCGTGACACATAGTTGCGATACTGGGTGAGAAACGTGTCATTGTAAAACGCGAGTTGATTAAATTTAATAATTCAATTTTATTGATTATTGCAATTTTCAATTCTTTTTTCTTTTTTTTTTTTTTCTTAATTTACAAAGGTGGAACATCGAAGAGACTAAACTCAAACGGACGGAAGCTTCGGGAACAGAGAAAATCGACGCTTCGATGGATATTCCGAAACCGGAAGTCGAGGAGACAGAGAACGAGGGAAAACAGAGTGAGAAGCTCGTGTCGATGGAAAAAAGAGTAGAAGTGTGTAGTAAAGAATGTGCAGATTAATTATGCAGTGATATGAGTTTTGGCGCATTGAATTTTGTTTTTTTTTTTTTTTTTTTTTTTAATGCGTTGTTTTATCTTTCGTCGATTCAGGAGAAATCCGGGAAGATAGTGAAGGAAGTTACGGAAACGACGACTTTACGAGTGTCTCACGATACTCGTTTAGATATTGCGTCTTACAAGGTGATATCCAACACCACGCAAGATCATCGAGAAAACGTAGATGTTAAGGAAATCAAGGATCTCGAACGCATCGTGTTGCCGGATGTCCACGAGAAAACGAATGGATCGCACTACGAGATGGATTCCGTTAGCAAATGTGAGATATTTCGATAATTTCTTTATCAATTAAGAACAATAATTTTAATGTATATTGTGAATTATTTTATTATCCTGTTCTTTAACACGAATATCTTAAAACAAATTTTTGTACACGATTTAAGGATTTTCCAAATTAAAGTCTCTTAATCTTTTAAATTTGTTGATTTCAATCTTTTGTATAATTTCTAAAATTGATGTTTTCTCTTGGTATTTACTGCAATATTATATTATAAAAAAATTATTGCAATATTATATTATAATCATTAAAAAATAATTTAGTCTTTACAGTAATGTTCAAAATTGTTTACATTATTCAATTTTAATTTTGGAATTTTAATGATCCAATTGGATTTGAAAATCTCTTGATGAAAAGACAAATTATTTAAGTGATATTATAATTATTTATAATAACAAATACTTTATTGTTCAACAGCGGAATCGTACAGTCGCAGAGACGAATTATCCACGAAAACAGACGACACCGAACGCGTGGTAAAATTCGCGAAGATCTGCGAAATAAATCAAGAATCGCGCACGATCCCTGTCGACACGTCGGCGAAGGATATCGCTCTGTCCTTGAAGGAATACAGACGACGCCACGAGGACAGTGGGATCGAGATGTCGCCGACGAAGAAAGACGAAAACCTCGAGGGCCAAGATTTCCTCGAAGCGGCGAGGAAGGTGAGTTCGATCGAGGCTATCTCGATAAATGGCGATCGAAGGAACGGATATTGCAACAGTAATTGTAACCACGAAGCTGCATGCTTCGATCGTTTTTCCATGCAACAGAATCTTATCGAGCTTAACAGTGTCAATGACAATCGTTGTTTGCCATTACCTAACGCAAGCTAGTTGTGTTTTTCTATGTGTTTTATGTGTTTCTATGTTTTGGATTTTTCTTTTTTTTACGTATGTTTCGTGCAACTTGGTTTGATCGATTTTCCTTTTTTTTTTTTTTTTTTATAAAAGAATGAACGAATACGTTGTAATATCTTTTATTATGAAAATATACATTACTCTGTAATTGTTTTTACCAATTAATTATAGTCTGATTAGTTTATACGTGATATTTTATCATTTGTTAAATGTTGTTAAGCGTAATCTATAAAGATAAGTAATATTGTATGCATAATCAAAAATATCCCCAAGTATAAAAACATTCCTATAATGATATTAATAACGAACCAAAAATTACTTTCGAATACGTATACACGATTTTTACTTTGTTATACGAGATAACAAATATATTTGTTATTATCATAAACTTGTTATTTTAACTCATTCGCAATTAATACTAGAAAATCAAAATTTCTTAGGCTAAAGTGTGTATAACCATTATAACAAACATTGCGTGCATGGCTTACGTTTGTAAATAAAGCGTTACCCAAGAGTCAGGAAACATGTATTTTATACCCTAACATAAAGGAAACTCGTCGTATTTCAAAGGAACGAAAATTATCGACAATTAGAACGAGCGATTCTTATTATCGCATTGATGTTTTTTCGAATGTAGCGGGTCACGGGTAATCGGCTTCCTCTTCGCGCATGATCGGCGGTACTCGGTCGCGTTCGTGCGCGTTCGACAACGCGCATGCGCGGCAAATCACTTGGGCGGCATTCGAAACGGGATGATCCGTCAGTCTTAAGTCGACTGGCTTCTACGACCGATCGACCGGTGATGTGACACGATTGTGACATGTGTCACGCGAGTGTTGTTGCTGCTGCGGTTTACGTTGTGGCTGTCATTGCTTGAACGTGGGTCGATTTAGGTGATTGCCCGATAATTAATCAGATAAAATAGCATAAGAGAATCTTTCATACTTTTCGAAACTTATTCGTATCCCATATATACGTCTTTTTTTGTTATCGTAGATATCAATTTTTATATAAATCACGTAGAATAGATCGAGACTCGTATTAATTAACGAAGTAGAATTTATTTTTTATCCCACGAATCGTAGTATCCCATTTTCTCTCCAGTATTATTCGCTTTGAATGGATTTTTTTTTATACTCGAGAGCAACAACATTGCCCAAAACCCGTCCAATTTGTCACGATTTTCCCTCGACCTCGATTTCATCCTGTCCTTGGACGTATGCTGCTCACGAGCTCGTCTTACCTTGAAAACGTTGATCGTAATATCATCTTCCTTTCGTAACCCATCTCAAAATCAATTCTCATCTCGTTCGAAATAAATTCCTTCTCCTATCTCGAAAAAAAGCTCGGCCATAATCTGTATCGTAATCGTCTTTGCACTTTTACCCGACTTAAAAAAAACAAAAAAAAAAAAAAAAAAAGAAAAAAAGAAAAACATCGAAAGAAAAGGAAAGGAAAGAGAATAATATACATAATATATAATACGTAACTACCGTAACTACCGTTCTCCACTCGTTAATCTCTCGAGCAGCACTTTGACTGCTCGGTTGCCAGATAACGCGTAATTAGCCTGACATAACGCCACCGATAATACCATAAACAGCAACAATGGCATCGCGCATTGTTACACGGAGGTGGCGGATGAAGGGGGGTACGCGCGATTTCCGGGGGGGGTCCACGAAATCCGCGAACCGTGGAATCACGATTCTAACCTGACTGTACACGCGCGATCTCGCTTAATTTCTCGTCTCCTCTTTTTCCACCAGGGATCGTCTCCGATCCCCGTGGGTCGCGGTGTGGCGAACCTCACCGTTCGGAGAACGCCACCAGTCAGTCCGGTTTTATCCTACCATTCGTTCGTCCGTGTCGGTGACGTCACCTTACAAAGATACCTATGAGGCATAAACACATTGACGTTCGATCGAAACGTGGTGTACTATACGCTCCTTGCTTTTTAATCCAAGAAACGCGTTTCAATCGTGAACGCCACGGTGATTAGTGGCGCGCCTCTAATAATCGATGGTGATGAACCGGAGAGGTTCCTCCGGTTCTTGGTTTTTGGACGGAGTTTATTTTTTCTTTTTTTTTTTTTTTCTTTTTTTTTTTAAAGATGTTAATGTAGTTTGTTGGCATGAGTAACGGATATATTTAACTATTAGATCAGAATCGAAAACGGATCGCAACGATGTAGTTACGATAATGGGGTACTATAATGGTTTTATCAATCGTTTCAGTTTTGATTCTTTTGGATGGAAGATTGATTTCTGGATGGATCGATCGTTAGATTTATTTTTATTTTGAGAGAAGTTGGAGTTAATTTTAGGAATTACACTTGTTTTTATTGAGTTTCGTTTGATAGGTAAATAGGAGAATATGAACATAAATTTGAAGTAGAGATATTTATGGAAGAATTGTAAGGAAAAATGTTTCTTTCGAACAAAGTTTTCTTTCAGGATATTGAAATCTTGAAACTCGAGAGACATTTATTTTTGAATATCCAAGGAAATTAGAAAAATCTTGAATAGAGTATTTCATATTAAAAATAAAAGAATTTCAAGATTTATTTAAAAGTCTCGATTGTTTAAACGTACAATCATTTGTGTTTCCCACATTTAAATAATGAATAAAGGCATTCATTTTAAAATAGCAGAATTTCAAAATATTTTCAAAATTCTGAATCTTCGTGCATCGAGGAAGACTTCTTCTTAACAATAAGTTAAAAATTTTCTGAACGAAGGTATTCATTTTAAACTAGAAAAATTGAAATAATTCCTTCAAAAACTCTTAATCTCCATTATAAATCTTAAAATAAAATCAATAAATTCAAAGATTCATGAATAAATCCATTCATTTGTCAAACTTTCATTTCAATACTAAAAATAAATTAAAATATTTCTAAATGGAAGTATTCATCTTAAGGACAAAAGAATTTCGTATCTCTTCTAAATCCTTCAATTTTTTCCAATTTAAAATCACAATTTCTTCACCTCCCATTTCAAAAACCGAATACAAAAGCAAAAATGAAAGATTTCAAATTGTTTTTTGAATCAAATAATATTTCAACAATCAAATATTTCCTTAAATAAAGATATTCGTCTGGAAAAGAAAGCTTTCGATTATTTCAAAAAATTTCTTCCATCATCAAAACTCGATTCTCGATGATCTCTCAATGTCGTCCTTTCGAATCCATAGAATCGAATCGCCCAAACGATTTTTTCCTCTCCGAATATTCGAGAGATAACTCGAGTCGGCGTGAACCGACTCGATACTTTCTTGGTGCGTTTGGCGAATCGCCAAAAATAACGTTAATCAGAGGAGAACGTAAACGATTCGCCGATCGCGAAAAGGAAAGGAAGATGGGGGACGAGTTCGATCTCGGTCTCGAAACGTTTTCCGCGTGATAAAGGCGGCCTCTCAACGGAATGCGGAACGTTGATCAAAATTAATTCGGTGGTGGATGGACGCTTTGGCTATTAAACCTTCTCCCGCTCCTTTTGCATATCCATCCGACCGTTTGGAGACAGGCCAATCGAATTCCGTGTTTTCGCTGAAATACTGCCGGTCGAATTCCCCTGCCACGAACTTTGATATATCTCAAAGGTAGAAAGTCGGAACTGCGATTCGTGGGTGTAAAATGTCTGCCCTCTTTGTGTAACGTAATACGCCGGGGAGTAGTTTTAAAGAGATAAAGGAAATTTTTTGTTCCATTTTAAATTTTATCTCTGTCTGTTTATTCTTCGTGCTCGACGATAATGTTTTTAGAATTTAGTTGGACAAGAGGGATATAAATATATATATAGAGAGAAAGGAGAGATTATTATTAAGTTTGTTTTCTGCTTTCAAAGTTAGCAGATTGGTTATGTAGTTGACATATTGCGAGAAATGGAGAGAAATTGATATCGTATGTCATTACAGCGAATTAACAATTTATTAATGTTATAATGGCGGGTTGAGTTACGTAAGTAACTTGTCCTGCTCGAGTCGATAATGTAACGTTTGTAGGGTTAGAGAATTGGATTTGATGTATTAAATGAAACCTAAATTTTCAGATGTTTGAATATTTTCGAAATTTCATATTTTAAATATTCCATACATTTCTTATTTGAATATATATTCAAAAATATTTTGTTTAATATCTTTTCAAAATTATGAAAGTAATTTCGAGTTTTTTTACATTTTTATATATATCACATGCTTGAAAAAAATTTCGATATACATCCATACAATCTATACACAAAGTTTAATATTTTTTCAGTTGTAATTCAAAGAAAGAAAAATTCATTCGAGACGATTCTAAAGAATAAATATTAATAAATTGTGACACATAATTACTTCGAATTCTACGAAACATCAATGATGAAAGTTTCATTTATAAGATCATCTCTTTGCTATAAAAATCTCAATAGATACGAGTCTATAAATCGAACATAAAATAGTTTGCATCGTCGTAAGCTTTAATCGCTATTCTCTCTAAAATTAACGATCTCGACAAAAATTGTAGAGTTATATAAAAAGAAAAGGTTCGATTTTAATTGTCCAAACATTTAAAAAATTAACTCATCCCTTCAAATCTTGCTTTGTTAATCCTCTTCGTCCGTTTTATTCTCCCCACCGTCGATACGATTAAAGTGACGGAAAAGAACGAAAGTCGATCACCGAATCGATCCACACCGATATCTCGAACGATTTTGTTTTGCCGCGAAAGAGAAGAGTTGCGAGAATGGTAGACGGGCACGACTCGATGGAAACGGCGGAGAATAGCGAGGGTCCTCGTGAGAAGGAATCACGAACAATGGTGGAGAGCAACGAGGATGGAACCCAACAAACCACCAGCCCGACCACCACCATAAGCACCATAGCAGTGCAGAGCGGTGAAACGCGTCTGGTGATCGCTCTACTTCAAGTAAGGGGCATCGTACCTTATCGTACACGACTAATGTATTAATGTCTCTCCACGATTTTTTCTAAAAAAAATCTCTCTTCTTGGAATATTTTTAAATAGAGAATTAATACCACCTAACAATCTATTTGCTTGTTAATCTTTCTTTCTTTTTTTTTTTCTGTAATATTTTTGGATTCGTTTCATTTATATATCATTACGATTTCGAAAATTTGTAGAAAAGATTGTATGTAATTTAAGATTTTGGAAATGGATCCAAAAATATTAGGTTTTATTTTTATGGGTTTTTTGGTTGATTTGGCTGATTTTTATGTAGAATAGTTTTATGTACTTTTTGCTAGATTAATTATTTGGGTGTTATTTGTTGTTGTCTGAAATTGGATGAAACACGGACATTTTAAAGATTGGATTTCAATGTGTTTTATTTTCAAGATAGATTAGCAGTAATTTTTATAATATAGTATAATATTAAACAAGAAAGTCATAAAAAAAGTGAATATAAAAGTAAACTCATATTTCATTGGAAGTTTTATTATACATTTCGAAAAAAGAAACAAACGATAAACATATCTTATCATTTTCTTTATCCTAAGATTTAGATTCTTATATATAATTTTTATCTAAAATAAAAATTATCCCTCGTAATATATAATTGAATTATTTTAAATAGTTTATTATTTTTATTTTTAATTTAAAAAAAATTTATATAAATTGTTTTATACAAGTAATTCTCAAACTTAACACATTTGAACGCGAATAGATAATGAATAATTTCTATAATCAATTACATATATTATTATAATATATAGGCTTTATCTCAATCTCGAATGAATCATAAAGACAGAATATACCATTATACCAGTGATACGATACATTGTGATTTTCTGCACGTACCCTCATTACGTTATGCGAAACAGAAAACGCAATTTTGATAAAGATACGTCTGCACTTGCGTATCATGGTATCATATCACATGGTTAAGTATCGTCAAGTGTACACGTTGCATGGTGATGAGTCGTTGTCCATCAAAAGTGCGAAAATATGGTAATGAAATCCGTTCACCAGTTTCGTCAGATTTTGATCATCACGTCGAAGAAATAAATAGGTGTATTCCAAGTGAACCAGATCGAACGAAAATTTATCGCTTTACTCTGCTATTTCTGTTTAATTTCGGTTATAAAATCCATCCATAAATTCGTGATTAGATATAGTTCCTGTCCAATTATAATTACAGATAATTATAGATAAACACAGTCTTTGTTCAATGTTATACAATGAATATATTTTTAAGAAAATTTAAATTTTATTAACGATTTATATTTTTCTTCTTCTTTTGGAAATAGATGAAAATTGACAAGCCTTGTTTTTTTTTTTTTTGATATTTAATTTAATCTGTTTTCAAATAATTGGGATAGAATTATATGAATAATCGATAACAATTGTAGATTTATCTTTAAGGTTGATGTCTTTTGTTATTTATTCGTATTCTGTATCAGTGTTCAATAAATAAAATTAGAATCTAATCTCTTGCATATCTTTAGGTATCGTGTATTAATGCAATGACTCATAATTTTATTGATCATTGCGTATTATCTGTATATGAAAATAGAAAATATTCTTTTCGCGATAGAAATAAACGATTAAGAAGACAATGCAACATTTTCCATTTAAAATAACTTATTGTTAGTATTGGATATCATTCCTTTGATAGATGATGATAAAAAATGAAGGATCAATTCTGTATCAAATTTAGATATACATATACAATGGAATATAATGCCTGATAATGTAATGATGATTCACGATTTAATTTTCGTAAAGGCAATTAAACAATCTATTCTAAGTCTATTCTCCCTTCTATGATTGTTATCTTAATATTCCATTTTAAGTATTCTCCAAGCACATTTTATCTTCATCGATGTGTGTATCGTACTTTAAAACCACTTGAAATATGATATTAAATATACTTCCATATTAATATTCGAAAAATGTTATAAAACAAACATTTTATAAAGAAAATATATACAACTATAAATATTATCAACATATTATTAATATAAATTAATCGATTTCTTATATTTATGATTTTTTAAATATTCGTTTATTTTTTAAACGAGTATAGTTTCAGTTCAATATTGATATTTAATTTCATCAATTTTTAATATCTTTCTTTTAAAACATTTCTTCCAAAACATTACATTTAGATAATATAATAATAAGATTTATATATATTAAATATATTAATCACATTTAGATAATTTAGATATATAAATCCTCAAAATCTGAATACCTAACCTCCAAAATTCTTTTTAAATCATTTCACAATTATTACTCATTACTATTGCAAAATGCAACTCGAAATGATTGCCAGAAAAGGAATCCCTACATTTCATCCCCCTCGAATCGACACGAAACCCATCAAACTCTCCTGATCGGGACGCCATTTTCCTCATTGACATTATTTGCGAAAGACACGCGTCATCATATCAGCCGTCGAAAGGGACGATCTTCCCGTTCGATCGCGATCTATTCAGGTATATAAGGGGGAAGAAAGACGTGGCCGGTCACACGCGTCCATGATCTATGGCGTTAGATATTTCGGGAGCCCGTAGTCCATAGCTATTTCCGAGTCCTCTCGAAACCGTGAGCGTTTTAGGCATCCCATCGAGCAAAACGAGCTCTTGGAAACCCCGCGAGGGATAAATTTAACCGCTACGGTTCCTACCCTTCGTGAAATCGCGCCGCCATACCGTGAAGCGTGGCTCGAACGTGGTCTCGTCTTCGTTACGCCACCGAAAATAATTGCCGTTTCGCGCGAGAGAACTCTCTCTCTCTCGACCAACAGTGTATCGCTCGTCGAAAGGATTCGTATGGAGAAAACGCACTTGTTGCACGATTATGTAATATTCTCTGGGGGGATTACGATCGAGTACGGTAGGTACTCGAGAGTTGCGTATGCGCGTACTTGCTTCGAGTATTTATAGGCATGGTTACCTTTCTTTTTTTTTTTTTTTTTCTTTTTTTTTGGAGGCACGTTATCGACGTTCAGGAATGGACAGAGATTCGGTTCGAAGGATTTCGTATCGAACAGTGATGGTTAATTTTAATAGGTTTGAAGAGGTTTGTGGAAGGTTTGGAAAGTCGAGGTTTAATCTCTCTGCGTCGACCTGGAACCGGTATCTTTTTTTTTTTGGTGAATTAGATTTGAATTAGGTCTTTCGTTTCTGCTCGGAATAATGATTCGATCTTCTAATTTTAATTATCATATCTGTTTCGAGGCGTACAGAGATTTTAATTTATTCAGAGAAATTTTAAGGAGACGGACAGGTCCAAAACTCGAGTCGAGTTGTAACAGGTTTTCGTCGTATTTATAAAATGAATCTTAATAGTTCATTCTTACGTATTTAAACAAAAATTATACACAAATTGAATATTTATTCTCAAATTTCGTTTCAGTCGATAAAACTGAAAATCATTAAACTCGGCATTAAATTACATTACAATACGGTATCTCGGTGATTTTCGTGTTAGTCACAGCGCTTTCAATGCAAATACGTAGATAAGTTTAACGGCCGTGGCCGTAAAATAAATCGTGAGGGGTGGAGTTGGAGAAAAAAAAAAAAAAAAAAAAAAAAAAAGAAAGAAATTTACATTCGATCGTTATCCAGCTTGTCGCTTGGAGGTATACGAAATATTACCAACAGAATCTGTCTGTCACGCGCACCACCTCCCATCGAGAGGATTTCCTTGGCTCTCGAGATAACTTTGATTCGTGAAACGAACATGTCAGGCATTCGTTTATTCGAATGGTTAGTCTAAGATTATAGCCGAGCAATTTAGCAATTTGTTTCGTGGCGGCTAATTCGCGCCCTCGATAGAGATATTATCTGACGATGGATAAGGGGTGGCTCGCAATGAACGACATCTAAGGAATCTTCTCCCTTTTTTTTCTTCGATTTTTCCTCTTATCTCTTTCATTCGTTGCTCTCTCATCTTTTCTTCATCTTATTTTCCGTTTCTTCATTTTTATCGTTACGTTCTTTTCTTCTTTCATTTTCTTCCTTTTCCTCGTTTCTTCTTTTCTTGTTCTCTTCACTTTTTCGTTTTTTACGTCTTTTTGTCTGAGTTTTCGTCATTTCTCTCCCGTTTCTTCCTTTCTTCTTTTTTTCTTCTCGTTTTTTCATCTCTCTGCATCTTCGCCTTTCATGGATTACAATAAACGATCTTATCGTGAAAACACGTGATAATAGCGGTTCATTGCTTCGCATCACGGTATTATATCACGGTTAAAGTTACATCACGACGTTATCGATTACACGCCTCTCGGAATATTCATTTGCATTTCGAGCCAGAATAGTTCCTCGTGTCGAAATAATGACTCATTGTTTTCACGACTTCGCTCGTTCTTGCGGATTTTGCCGGATTAGTCGTGGATCAGTTAATTACCTTGCTTGGGTAATTTACGAATTGTCGGATAATTATGAAGAGCAATTAGTTGGTCATTGTTTGGATGATCTTGGAATGGTGATTAGCAGGATTGTTAGCATTAATAGTCGATGTTTTATTAACTATTATTCGAAGAAGTATTAAAAAGAAGAAGAAGAAGAAGAAGAGGAAGAGGAAGAGGAAGAAGAAGAAGAAGAAAAAGAAAAAGAAAAAAAAGACAGAATTGTGGAAGAATGGGAAATCGGTGTTACTCATATATATTTTTATGGCGAAGTTAAATACCTACTGTTAATTATATTACCTATTATTATACTTATACAGATAACAGTGTAGTATGACTATGATTTAAGAAGTGTTATAAAGCTATACACTCTTAATTATTGTATTTATTAACTTTTCTCCTCTTTTATAACAGCGTGTCTATTTCGACATAAATCAGCCTTAATTTATAACTTCCTTCCGTTGAGTTGAAGTAATCAACACTTACTTTGACATTTACATTTGTTACATTTATTCTGATTCTTATCAACGTTTCATTTAATTATTTTACAGATATT